ACCCCGGAAAAAAAAAAAAAAAAAAAAAAAAGAAAACTCTCCAAATAAAATGCTGGAAGGAGGCAATGTAAACAAAAAGTTGGAAATATTTGAAGAAATATGTAATGCATTACTATCTCTAGGTAATAGAGATTCTTAGGGCTAGATGATATTTATCAAATTTCATGAAGCATAATAATTAAATAATACAGATATGGAAGAACTGTGTAGTCTTTTGTTGTAAAGCTTTAAACTCAAGAAAACAAAACTAAGAAGAATAGATCTAAATTATTTTACAATTCCCAAAAAAATAGAGAATGTAATTGAAAATTTCTATGTTACAATTTTAGAATATTAGGAATAAGAAAGAAAAACTTTTGCTTTCCATAATGACTGAAAGAAATAGGTAAATAATGTCAATTCTTGAATCCTACTGCTAGTTGTTGATAGTATATTGAATAATAGATGTATTGAATAATAGTAATAATAGCCATATATATATAACTTCTCTTTTCAAACTCACCCACTAGATCAAGGATTAGCAAACTACAGCCATAGGCTAAATCCAGCCCACCATCTTTTTTATTTTATTTTGTTTTATTTTTTACACCATCTATGTTTATAGGACTGACAAGTAGAAAGTTTTAATAACATTTAACTGGTTGAAATATAGAAATCAAAATAATATATAAAAATTACTACCATGTACACCAACAGAATGGCCAAGCCAAATGATGGTGGGATAATGGAGTAAGCTGAATTCTTATACTTGTTGGAGGGAGTGTAAAATGGCACAACAACTCTGGAAAAAGTTGACAGTTTTTATAAAAAAATGCATATCTCCCATGACCCACAATTTCCATTCCTAGATATTTATCCAAGACAAAAGAAAACAAGTGCCCACAAAGACTTGTACAAGAGCTCTCATGGCAGCTTTATTCATATGAAACCCAAACTGGAGCTACCCCAGCTATTAACCATTTGGAGATTCATAAGCTATTTCCTTCACACAATGGACTGCTACTCAGAAATAAAGAGAAATTATCGATGCACACAATAATGTACCTGAATGTCACAACATTATATTGAGTAAAAGAAACTATATAAAAAGTATATACTATTTTTCCATTAATATGAAGTTCTAGAAGGAGGGAAATGAATGTGTGGTAGAAAAATTTCAGAACAGTGATTGCTTCTGGAAGGTTAGGGGTAGAGATTTGCTAGAGGACATAGGAGGGAATTTGCTGGAAGATGGATATGTTCAATGTCTTAGTAATGATTTAGGTTGTGCATACGTATTCACTAGACTTCGCGGAATGGCACACTTAGATTTGTGCAATTTGTTTTGTGTAAACTTTACCTCAAGGAACAAAACTGAGCCAAAGTATTGAACTTTGGTTAATTATGAGTGTTGAAATATTTTGGGGAAAGTATACTAATGTCTGCAATTTAGTTTGAAATCCATACAAAAATGAGATGGATTATTAAGTGGAAAGAGGACTTGATAAATGGTTAGTTATATATTAGAGTAAAAATAGTAAAATGTCAACGGTAGAATGTAGGTGGTTTGTATATGGATGTTCACTGATTTTTTTTTTTCACCTCTTATGTGTACTTGGACATTTTAATACTAAGCTGTAGGGGAAAGAAATGATAAGTAAATAAATTGATAATGAAAAGAATATCTTATGGCACAGGGAAATTCTAGGAATTAATAAAGTATACTTTATTGGAAACTAGTCATGCTTATTCATTTACGTATGTTTTTTACAGCTGATTTTGCACTATGCTAAAGTTAAGTAGTTGCAGTGGAGACTTTATGGCCTGCAAAGCCTAAAATATTTACTATCTGCCCTTGTACAGAAGGTCTGCCAACGCTTGCACTAAATTATTCATTTTTTAAGAGCAGTGACTTGCCTTTTATACTCATCATCTGTCATTGGGCCTAGCCCACAGAACACGCTCAGTAAATTTGGTCTCCATGTGACACACATCCAGTTCTTCGTTTTTTTGTTCTCTTGGGCAGTTTTCTCCTCTTTGCACTAAAGGTTTGTAGTCTGGACCTAATCACTGCTATCCTTTATGTTCTCCCCAGAACTTCATACTTCCTTATTCCTTCAGAGTTCTATTTTTGCTTGCCATTCTAATCCTTAACCTAAGGCCACATCTACTGTGTGCCTTTTCTTTGCAACTGTTGACTACTTCTGGGGACAATTACATAGTTTTATGTTAATAATTAGTCTAAATTCACTCATTTTTAACCTTTGCCACTTACTTTATTAAGAATATTCAAGTTGTTTCACTCACGTTTCCATAGCTTCCCTCTTCGTTGCTGCCACATTTCTCTTTTTGCTCCATGCCTCTGTGATCAGCTGTCTGCTGTACATTTCTTTTGTGTGATCAAACTTCACATATCTAAAACTGAGCTTATTATATTTAAAATTATTCTTAAAATGAGCTTCTGTCCTAGACTTTTCAATTTCCCTTGGTAAATTAGCATCACTATATTTGAAATATCTTTTCTCTTGTTCCATATTCAAATAGTCCCTAAGTTCTATAACTTTTTTCCCTTTAGGCTTATAGTCTTCTCTTTTTTATTATAACCAAGGCTTTTACCATATTAACGATGATGATGGTGGTGGTGGTGATACTGGCAATGATAACTGTTATTGAGTGTCTCCTTTTCTTAGACATCATACTTTAATTTCTATCCTTATTTTATACTTCCTAACTTTCAATCTATCTCTCACACCCAATTCCTTATATACTATTGTCACAGTCATTTTCTTGTTGCTTGGACAAAATACCCAATGCCCACAAGTTAAAGCAGGGAAGTTTTACTTTAGTTCATAGTTGGCAGAGGTTTCTGTCTGTAGTCTACTGGCTTCAAGGCAGGACAGCATGGCAGATGGGCATGACAAAGGAGAAACAGTTCATGGCGTGAAAGACAGGAAGAAGTAAGCTTTCTTCCCACCCACCCCCTTTTTTTTCCCCAGTACTGGGGATTGAACTCATGGCCTTGCACTTGCAAGGCAGGCATGGTGCCACTGAGCTAAATCACTGGCCCTCTTCTTTCTCTTTTTATTCCATCCTCACTGCAAGCCTGTTGGTTGATACCACCCAAAATTATGCTAACCTAATCAGTGGACTAATACAGAATTACATACCCATGATTTAGTCACTGTCAAAAGACCCATCTATCAGCACATTAGGAACTAGGGATACACTTGGATATAAACCATAACAACTATCAATTCTATTACCTTTAATTACAAGCATATGAAACAATAATATTTCTTACTGTCTGTAAACAGACCTTCAGTGTGTTACACTTTCAAAACAAGACTGAAACACAACAGGGCAGACATTAAGTTTTGTAGCTCTGTATCTGGTATGCAGGGCACATGTTGGTAAAATGTGAGTTTCAAATGTCTTCAGCACCCAACCGCTGTGCTTTTGCCAGTTGCAGCCCACGTGGCTGGTTCCACTCACAGTTTATGGAAGACATTCAATATTCCTGGCGTCTCTGACTCTCTGGGGTCTCCACTGCACCTTAGGTTTCATTTCCACAGCGTTATGCACTCTCTCAGGCACTCCTAGCCTAGCCTTCCAGGTCTTCCTTTGAAATCAGGCCTCTTTTACCGCAGAACATTTGCATGTTGCCTGCCAGTAAAACCAGCATCACATGACAGCATCAAGCTCTGCAGTCAGTGGATGCAGTGTCCACGCCCCCATGGACCATGACTGCAGTGATCTCTGAGTGCCTCAATGGCATGGTGAGCATGGTGAAATGAATCCTGGGAAACTACTTCCCTAGGAGGATCTTTTAAGCAGAGGTCCCAGTGACTTTTTCTCACATGAAAGTTTAGCAACTTTTTGCCCTTGAGTCTGCAATGGATGGAGTCTTGCTGTTTTCTGAGATGCCCTGAAGGGATCTTTCT